GTCATCGCACAACAAACACAACGCGACTCACCATCACACGTTGAGATCGTCTGAATCCCAGGTCATGGGGGCATGCCGGGCAACGATAAAGCACACCTGCTCGCCCGCGCAACGCTCCACCGGGCACCCGACATCCCCAGGTATGCCCAGACGTTCCCCGTGGCCTTGATTACCCTCTAATCATATAGACACGCCCATCGAGTCCTTACCCCTTCACCCTCACCTCACAAGCCACCAAGGCATCATCATCCGCAACACCTAAAGTAACAACCTCCCCACCCTACTCCGCATCCACCTTCTACGAGGTCTACCACCCTGAAGATCCTCCCTCGTGCATCCACTGCGGTGACCGCCCAAATACCCATCACGTCTTATAAATCTGCCATCCCACTTCCCCACCGCTCCCTAACCCCACCTCCCTGTCCTTCCTCCCGAAACCCGAGTGGATAACTACGGCCACCACACACTTATGGCGAATTCCACTGGGCGTTTTGGAGCGCGCCGGGATCAGTTGACCAGATCCGGATTGGAGCACAAGATCCGAACGGGGTCGCGCCGCCTACGGATCCTCAGTGGAACATGACCACTGCTCCGGGATCGGCGGATTCCTTCCCGTCATTCAACTGCCCGGGAATCCCCTTTTCGCGGCCGCCGCGGTCGTTTCGAAGACGTTTTCGCTACGCGGCGCTAACACGTGTTCGACGCACGAGTGGCAGGAATGGCTCAGGCGCTTCTAGCAACGATTGCCGGAAAGCCCGTAGCGCGGCAAATACCTTCTCTTCTCCTTCCTGGAAAACGAACCGGCTGTCGAGCCAATGGGTAAGCAAGCGGCCATTACGAATTCTTCTGATGTCGAGACAATCTAGGAGCCCAGCCCGCGACGTGCTTCTTCTTCTTCTGAGGCGAGATGGGCGAAATCACAGTAGGCGAAATCAGGCGAGATGCCCCACGAGAAAGGAAGTCACGTGTGTGCGCCGAGGGCTCCGAAATCGTTGGAGCGACTTTTCTCGTGGCGAATTCCACGGGCCGTTTTGGAGCGCGCCGGGATCGATTTTTTCGGAGCGAGCCTAATTCACGGGGCGATCGGGATCGAGACGAACTTGTTCCACTGGTCGTTTTGGATTAGCTCCCGCTCCAGATCTCGATCTGGATCCGAGAAAAGTCGCTCCCCCGATTTTGGCGGATTCAACCGGAAGCCAGCCGGGTCAGCCGCCGGCGCACACACGTGACTTCCTTTCTCACGGGCATCTCGCCTGATCTCGCCTCAGAAGAAATGGTAATGGCCGCTTGCTTACCCCTTGGCTCGACAGCCGGTTCGTTTTCCAGGAAGGAGAAGAGAAGGTTTTGCCGCGCTACGGGCATTCCTGCAATCTTTGCTAGACGCTCCTGAGCCATTCCTGCCACTCGTGCGTCGAACACGTGTTAGCGCCGCGATCTCGAAAACAACCAGCCGCTACCAGGGGGGCTATGTTGCGCTTTTTACGCTTTTTGCACTCCCAGGAGACTTGGAAGAGGGAAGTGACGTCAACAACGCAGCAAATGCAGATTGGATGTTGATTTTGTTTTCTCTGTCAACATCCAATCTGCGTTTGCTGTATCGTTGACGTCACTTCCCTCTTCCAAGTCCCCTGGGGGGCTATGTTGCGCTTTTTGGACTCCCAGGAGACTAGGGAGAGGGAAGTGACGTCAACGACACAGCAAACGCAGATTGGGTGTTGATTTCGTTTTCTTCTGTCAACATCCAATCTGCGTTTGCTGTGTCGTTGACGTCACTTCCCTCTTCCAAGTCTCCTGGGAGTGCAAAAAGCGCAACATAGCACCCCTGGGAGTGCAAAAAGCGCAACATAGCCCCCCAGACACCTGATTTGCTTCAAAAATACCCAGGACGTTTTGGGGGAATGAATCGATCACATAGCAGACGGTAGACAAGTAAACAGCGTTGAAAAATATTTATTCCACCGATTGTTATGAAGGCCGATGGTGTCGGTGTCGCAGTTTTGAAGCACTGTCAGTTCGGCTCAACACTACGTTACAAAATACGGTTTGGGGTACTGCCGGTGCTAACGCAATTTCACAGTAGAAATAGGAATTGCATGAAAGAACCGGACAGAAACACTTCATACGGTGGCGTAAATGCCGAACATATATCAGCGATGTCACTAAATTTCCTCGGTTAGGGCTATCTGCTTTGTCAGCGAATGAAGAACACCTTGATAAAATAAAGAGCGGAAAATACTCTCCGTGTCAAGTTTTCTAATCACAGTCACTGGTTGATGTCGTACCGTGGTAATTCCCGGCCCTTCCAATGCAGTAGCACTTTGTAGAGTCACATTTCCAGCGATTCCGTGCCGCACACGAACGAAGGTAAACAATCAAGATGGCGGAGTGTACGTCCCCGCGTTGTCCTCGCCGTCAGCGCGGAGTGACAGGGTTGTCGGACAACAAATCGGGCAACACTGTTGCCGGGCGGCAGCAACATGTTGCCCGACTGTAGTTGTTGCCGCGATGTGACAGGGTCGCCGGCAAACACGACTTCCCCGTGTTGCCGGATAGATTTGTCCAACTGTCCCCTCAGTGTGACAGGACCTTTACCTCTTGGCTCGACAGCCGGTTCGTTTTCCAGGAGGGAGAAGAGAACGTTTTGGCCGCTCTACGGCCATCCCGGCAATCTTTGCTAGAAGCTCCTCAGCCATTCCTGCCGCTCGTGCGTCGAACACGTGTTAGCGCCGCGATTGCGAAAACGCGTCTTCGAAACGACCGCGGCGGCCGCGGAAAGGGGATTCCCGGGCAGTTGAATGACGGGAAGGCATTCGCCGATTCCGGAGCAGTGGTCATGTTCCACGGGGATCCATCGCCGGCGCGACCCTGTTCGGATTGTGAGCTCCATTCCGGATCTGGTCAACTGATCCCGGCGCGCTCCAAAACGCCCAGTTGAATTCGCCATCGGATCCAGATCAAGATCTGGAACGGGAGCTAATCCAAAACGACCAGTGAAACATGTCGGTCTCAATCCGGATCGCTCAGTGAAATAGGCTCGCTCCAGAAAAGTCGATCCCGGCGCGCTTCAAAACGACCAGTGGAATTCGCCATTAGATCAAGTTTACCTGGCCGCGTACATCCAGTCCTCTCTGGAGTACGCCACCAGTGAGAGCCTGGACTGAGGCCCCCCGCTTATATTGTTTGGACGCCATTAAGTTTTATCTCCCCCTCTACACCACACGTTTCATGCGAGCCGCTCCGGTTCCAACACTACCCCGTATTTTAGTGCACTGTATTAAAACATTGTGTTGATGTCTCCACGCAGCTGGAAGTTGTTCACGAAAAAAGTGTGACTGTCACACATTGTTTTGCCTCACTTATATTTTCTCTCGTATTTCAGGCTGAAAGTTCTTATCATTTTTTTTTGTCCCGCATACTAGATACGAAACCCACATGACTAAGAACAAAAGGAAACGAAAAACGGGCTAACTCACACCTGCTCAGAACACGTGAAGCGAAAGCCCGCGCTGTAGAACCCCACCCCTACATCTTTCGATATGGATGAGCGTCGTACCGGCGTGCAGGCCTGGATCACTACTGCGGGGTGCACATTAAAAACGCCAGGCTAGCGGTTGTACTGCACTTGCTAAATTGCTCATCTACAGCTGAGAGACGAGTTGACTGTTGTGGCAGACTAACTGCCACAACGACCGTATAAACGTACGGACCAAACACACATAAAGTATTGTATATTGTATCAGCCCATAATCACCCTCACTAGACACGGCACCGCGCGCTTCTATATTACGGGCTCTCGCCTTTCCGCGGTGCCCTGTCTCTCTAGCTGAGTCGTTAGAGATTAAATATTAAAGATTACATGCTTTCTCTAGACAATTTGCTCTAAAATTATATACTATAGAAAAAACTAAGACTGAAGCGTTTTATTATTAATTATTTGGCGGAGTTTACCGGGCTTGTGAGGCATGCAGTTAGGCGATAAATTTGGCGGCATTAACGGCGGTCTACAAATTACCTCGCATGCAGAAAACAAAAGTGCGGCGGAGGAGTCTCGCTGATATACGTATACGACACACAGCTGCGGACTAGCGTCCAGGATTCCAGGTTGCAGCTGCCCCTTCTGCATGTAGGCATTTGCAGTCCTGACACCGAAGCCAGTTGGGCGCACAGTCGTCGAACAGGTAAGCTCGATCCCCAGGGCACGCACAATTGTAATAATTTTTTTTTTTTGAGGGTTATGGCAAAGGGCGTGTCGTCATGTCTATAGTCGTGTTTTTATTAAAGAAAAAAGGCCACGCATGATGGCAATTTGTTTAGTTTTTGGTGATGCCAATGCCGTGTAGGCAGAGTTAGTGCCACTAAATAAGCTACGCTTCAGAGTAACGACACTTGGCCATATTGTGTCTTAAAATCATGGTTGCCAGTTATCTGAAGCTTTATCTGAAACCACAGGAAACGCCTTTCCGCCCTCCACAAATGTTTAAACAGTTCGTAACAGAGCAAAGCAATATTGCATGACCTTCTTAACAACGAATCTAAATCTGAGGAAGTCGCACTTTTGAATCATGACGATCAGCAGTTGCGTCTGCTCTGCATACGAGCCAAAATGGCGGCGCCCACAACAATGCCGGGGAACGGAGTGCCGATACTCTAAGCGCAGCTCATTTAGTAACTATAGGCAGAGTAAAGGCCGGTTCTCACATGGGCAGCGAAGCGCTGATGTAGCGCTGCTCACGTGCCGTCAGGTACTTATCGTCTGCCGTGAGCAACAGTTTTGACGGTGCGATACAAAACTGGTGAACGCTCCTGTCAGCACGCGCTTAGCGCGAGGTCAGCGCTATGCCTGTGGCGCTCCGCTGCATGTGTGAACACGCCTTGAGTCATGCAATGATTATCTAAATTTCTCTGCATTACTGCTTCGTAAAGGACGGGAAGTATTGTACCATGTGTGTTCAATCTCTTGGAAGAGAGACGAACAATCTGTATGTCGTCTTCGTAGACCGCTCGAAGACTGAGACGACAAGGGCTGCATCCCGAGAACATGTCGGACGAATCGACGGAGCAGCACTGGGCCCACCTCTGGAGTACGGGCGATACCAACTGGCATAACCCAGACGGAGACCCGTGAGTGTACACCTGAATCCAAAACTGTGTAGCCTTGAATAGATAGATATTTATCCAATATATTCGGAGACTGCTTTCTCTTTCTAGTTTCGAAGAAGTGTAGAGGAGGTGTTTCTGTGGCAGGCTTTTAGTGTGTAGTGATGAGTGCCGGTGAATTTAGGGCTCCCATGTATGCTACACGTAGAGTAGCGGTACTCCCTTCTCTGGATTCTTTATGGCCGCGGCCATTTTGGTGCAGATCTGGCGCCACTGGCGATCGTTGCAATATGAAAATGCGACCCCCTGAGCTTGAGGTACTGTGTGAGGAAGTTAAGGCGATATTGTTTTTGTTCACGCGTTTTTAGAGGACGAGGAAGCATTTTTTTCAATTTAAGATCAGCTTTAGAGGACTGGCAACAATGAGTTCAAGCACTAAGATGGCTGAAGTGTGGTTGCTCTCAAGCGTAGCTCATTTGGTGGCTTTAGGTGAACGTACTTTTAGCAGAGACTAAGACGGGCAACTAGACATATATACATTTTAATACATTTCCACAGAAAGTTACTCCTGTTATCATCTCGGGATACAGAGGTTAAATTAGCTTGACACGGTTCGTAGCTTCTTGAACGCTCGGACCGCGGGTCAGAGGCCGATATGAGCCTTATAGGCCAGTGTTGTGTGACTATAAAACCCGGGGTTATGGAACGTGTAGAGTGCTCTTATAACTGACAGCGCCAAGATAATGACCGTCCTTGTTGAAATCGCCGGGGTCCTGAATTGAACAGAAAATGTATACGGAAAGCAACTGCAAGAAAGGAGAAGACGGGAGGGTGCGGTGACGCCAGTGAACGTCCCGGGACTGTGCCATGCTACGAGGTGGTATACGTATGTGCGCTTTCGCACCCTAGTCTCTTCCCCGTTTGTATTTTGTTTTTTTCTTTGATGTTGTCTCGTTGTCGCCTTGTTTCTTTGTAGTTGATGTTGTTGTTGTTGTTGCTGTGTTTGTTTGGGGGATATTGGTCGTTTATTTGGAAGTTGTATTTTATACCTCCTCTTTTTGTTTTCTAGAATCAAGGAGTAGCTTGGCCTCCTCTCTCCTAACAGAACGTTGGTAGGCCGAAAGTAACGCGTCAGTCTTGTACATCTCGTTGTTCTGTCTTAATTTCATTTTTATTTTGTTTTTCGTATTTATGTGGTTCTTCATGTTTTGATTTCTTTGTCTCATTTGATAAAAATTGTATTTTGATATGTTTGTTTCAGATACATTTATATTATTCCTTCTTTTAAACCTGGGGTATAATAGGAGCCACCGTTTCCACCATTCTGGTTAGAATTCTCATGAACTTTTCATTACTGCAAAGCTTTCTTTTAGTTTTTTTTTTAATTAAAACGGGACTATTAAAGAATTTAAGTTATTGTCTACATATATCTGTATATGGACATTCTGCATTGTAATGTAAAAGGCCTATAGCAATTTTTCCACAAGGACAGTCTGAACGTTGTATTTTACCAAATTAGAAAAAATATATTAAGGAAATCGTTCATGGTTAGTGAGTAATTGTGTTAATACCTGTGTATCTATGTTTGGAATCCATTGGAAAAGAGGTGTATCTTTATCACAGGTTTCCCATTGTTTCTTCCATTCTGCTTTTTTGAGTTTAGATAAATTTTTTTTATTAATTTCTTTGAATATTACAAGAGAGGGACTCTCCATGTATTCGAGCTTCATTTGCTAGTTTGTCGGTGATGTCATTGCCGTAAATTTTACTCTTTCTTTTAACATCATATAGTTATATGTTTTTGTTAATTGTTTAGTGTTTGCTTAATTTTGTTTACCTTAGTATTATTATTTATTGGGTTGTCCAGGGCTTGTAAAGCAGATGAACTGTGTGTCATTATATTTACCGTATATTTTCCCTGTAATAGTTTAATGCATAGCAGTGAATTATATATCGCGATTTATTCTGCGTCGTAGATTGTAGCATTATCTGTTATTTTATATTTTCTAATATTTGTATTTTCGAGTTTGGTTTTATTGCCTCAAGTGCAGCACTAACGGTGTTGTGGCATGCGGATCCATCTGTATATATATCCAAGTCGGTGTTAATATTTCTCTCAGTGAAATTGCTAAATGAACAATGTAGTAATTTTGCGGGATGAATAGCTTTTATATCTACCGGAATATGTACTTCTTTATACGGTAATGCATCTTCAGCACTATTCAGATGTTTTCGCAGTTTATACAAAAAAAAGGCTATTCATTTTTTTTAAAACCAAGTGGATTGGGGATATATGTTGCTCACTGTGCGGAAACCTTTTGTTATTTTTAGCAAATAAATCTTTTGGATGGAAGTGAGTTTTCTTCTTTGATGGGAGTTTTTTTTCTTTAGGGTTATAATTAACGGGACATGCGTATGTAATCATTTCTTCTATAGATCGAAGATATAATTGACGAAAGTTGGCTTGTGTAAAACCCCAATTTATACCTGAATAGAAAAAAACCGTGAAAGCTACACAAATGCGGTTTGTGCAGGTGGCCTATACGGCCAGGAGGACATTGTGTGGGTGGCTAATCTTTGCGATAAGTCGAATAATTAATTAAAATTCGTTAATTAACTTTTTAATTAGTGGAAATAGGCATATGGCTCCAATTAGAAACTTGCTGAGCGTAGTCAAAAACCCCTAAATCTATAGTTTTTAGAAAGACTTTGAGCGCGTGAGAAGCGCAGTAGTGTGCTGAAGTTAACACTCGTGGAGCAGTTACAAGGCTGGGGCTAGATAAGAGACGGAAAAATTGCGCGGGCGCCATACCGCAACCACTAGCCTTGTACCTGCTCCACGAGTGGTAACTTTAGTGCACTGCTGCGCTTTTCACGCCCTGAAAGTTTTTCAGAAAATGACTGATTTACGGGGTTTTGGATGACTCTCAGCAAGTTTCTAATTGGAACCATATCTCTATATCCACTAATTAAAAAGTTAATTAACGAATTTTAATTAGTTAACCGACTTTTCCCAAAGATTAGCCACCCACATAATGTCCGCCTGGTCGTATAATCCACCTGCACAAACCGCATTAGTGTAGCCTTCAAGTTTTTTTTAAACAAATGTTAAGAATAAAAACCACCCTGTATAGTATATCTACACACACACACACACACATATAATATATATATATATATATATATATATATATATATTGTGACAGTAGGACATTGAGGTGCAACGAGCGGGACAAAAAGGAGAAAAGGGAGAAGAAGTGGGTCGGAGACGGGCGAAGGACGAAGTGGCAGCAGCGAAAAAAAAAAGCGATCTGTAACATTTTGGTGTCAGAAGTGGGATCTGCGAAAAGAAAATGCCCTTCACACGACAACAAGCGCAGTCTGGCGAACCTTCCCCTTCTCCCGAGGACACCAGCAACACTGAAGGTCCAGTTACCTACGCCCAACTGAGGGATCTGTTCGTGGAACAGAGACAGGGCTTCGAATCAACGATGGCGGCTATGGTCCAGGCGCAGGTGCAACCCGTTACGTCTGCACAAGAAGACCTTCGACAAAGAATCATAGCGCTAGAGGAAAGGAGAGACTCGGAGAATCGGACCGACTCAGCAACGGTACGCACAGTTCCTGCCACCTCGAATCCTCTTCGTTTGAAACTGAAGCCCTTCGATGGTAGCGTGCCACTTGACCTTTACCTCGAGCAAGCTAATATTGTTGCTCAAGCAAACCAATGGTCCGAAGATGAAACAACTTACGCTCTTGCGGCACAACTACAGGGACCAGCCATCGCGATACTGGCCCAACTTCAAGGAAGAGCTCTAACCTACCAAACGTTGGTAGCGGCACTTGAAGACCGCTTTGGTGACAAACATCTACAACACGTCCGCTATGGCGAGTTAAGCTTAGTTCACATGCAGCGGTTTTGGCCCTAGAGCGGCGCGATTTCTGCCGTCGCGGCGCTCTGGCCAGCACCAACAATTCAGTGGCACGAGCGCCGCGACGGCAGAAATCGCGCCGCTTTAGGGCCAAAATCGCTGCATGTGAAACACGCTTTACGTTGCCGCCGACAACAGCCGGGGGGACACTCCAAGCCCTGGCAACGGAAGTTGAGTGCCTAGCGCGAAAATCATTTGTGGGAGTTTCCGCCGACACTTTTCACCTTTTCAGCACTACTGCCTTCGTCGACGCCATTGCGGACACTGAAGTTCAAAAATGTGTTCGACTTGGAGGGCCAAAGACAGTTCAAGAGGCTTTGGCTAAGGCGTTGGAGATCTCAGCCATTCAAAAGGCAACAGCAAACGCCCAGGCTTCTTGCCCGGCACAGTTACAGCCAACTACTCATCTGGAGACGCCTGGAGCACGCCAGCAACCTGAAGGTCACCAACGAGTTAACACCAAGAGGCGCTGTTTTCAATGCGGGCGACAAGGACACTTGGCTGCAGAGTGTTACAGCGCGTCGGGAAACGGATATCCCGGTCCACAGGGGCGGGATCGGGTATAGAGGACCAAGTCCCCCTCGTCTCTGTTTCAAAGAGTTTTGCTGGTCTTCCAACTACCAAAGTGGAGATTCAAGGGATTGGAATACAAGAAAGTCTCCTCGATACTGGAGCAGCGGTTAACATAATCGACGCGACGCTTGTACCGGCTGATTGTAATGTCTCCCGGATTGCTCCACAACTTTTTACAGCCAACGGCGTCAAAGTTCACACCGGTGGACAAGTGAAGTTATTGGTCACTGCGCTCGGTGAGACGTCGTTAGTGGACTTCGTAATTTTGTCGAATTCCGTCTCTCCGATCATTCTGGGTTATGAGTGGTGCCAGAAAAACGGATTTTTTAAGTTGAACCCCGAACAGAACAAGGCCACCAAAACCCCGCGTCCACCCATGAAAACATTACACGCCAGCATTCCACGATGCGAAAGTATTTTGGTGTGGCTTGTGTACCTCGTTCGCTCATTTTCCTTCGTCGCCGTGGAAAAGTGGCACCTATTTCTAAAGTTTTTTTCCCAATATACCAACATCATATG